TGGGGAAGACAAAAAGGGAAGAGTTAGAAAATCTGTCAACTGGCAGGTAAAGGGGCTGCTTCTAACCTTGAGTCAAATCAGGACATAGAACTGAGACCTAAACCTAACTGTCTCATCCTTCATAACTGGGAGAGACAGAGATTCTGTCTATATCCCCAAGAACTGCTCTGGAATATGTACCATAATCTCATTTTCTCCAAATCTCCTTGGCTATACCTTTTCTTCTTCTTTTTAAAATAATTATTTTATTTAACTTTATTTATTTATTAATTATAATTTGACCAGAGAGGGATAGAATGAGAGAAAGGGAGAGAAAGTGAGAAAGCAAGCTGCCAGGTCTGGGACTTGAACTGTGGTCGACCACGTGGTAGTCCAGTGCCCTTAACCACCATGTCACCTGCCGGTCGCTGACTACACCTTTTCAACTACAATGCCGATGAAGAATCTAAGGATCACCTCTCCTCAGCAATTTTGGGAACATTCCTCCAAATAATTCTAAACTTCCTTAGTACTTTTGTATCTTAATGTCCAATAAGACACTCTTCCTGAGAGTGATACCTTATTTAAGTCTATTTAAGGATACCTTAAAAAAGGAAACCACCAGAACCAGCAGTTGGCGCAATGGCTATGTCACTGGACTCCCATGTAGGCGACTGCAGTTTGAGTCCTGGACCCGGTGGCTTAAACTCACGCCGGGTGCGTGTGTGTGTGTACCCAAGATCCCAGGCAGAGAATGGAGAAGGGATTGCAGTGTGGCCATCCCTCCTGGGTAGTGAGTTTTCACTTTCTGTCTCTCTATTTCTGTCTTTCTGGTGAGCGCACACGCCCCATAGCAAAAACCTCTCCAAAAAAATAAGAGAAACCACTTAAGACAGAGGAGGGACCAGCAGATGCCATAATGGTTACATGGCCTAGACTTCCACATAGCTGACTGCAGTTCAAGTCCTGGACTCGGCGGCTTGAAATTCATTGCTGCCTAAACTGCTACTCCTCCTTTTCTAGCAGAGTTCTTACTCAAGAAAAAAGTACTGAGTCTATGCTCTCCTTCTGGTGCCCCTGAGCCCACTCACTGGTCATCGGTCTCCATGGTGCCACCCCGTCGAGCCTCGCCCTGGATGGACTCCATGGCTGTGGAATAGAGAGCCTTTTGCGGGGCTGGTCTGCGAGAGTCGAGTGAATATTGTGCTTCACTGCTTATGGGTTCTCGTTGTGCGTGATCAATGTTGTGAATTGACATCAAGAGGCTATAGTCCATTATCTTGAAGCTCTGCAGTACCTAATGGAAGAAGAAACATGGTCTGAGTCTTGGGAGGTATGAAGATTTCTTTCAGGATCTCACAGCTTTCATAATTGAATTCAAGTGCTAACCACAGAGTTATCTTTTGTTTCTCCTACTCCATGAAGAAGAGTATATTAACCTCTTTGGGTCAGTTCCAAGTAAATAGCAAGTCGTCTTCTCAAATCCCATTGCCTCACCCAGAGAACCTCTCTATTCTTTCCTTGTATCTTTTCCTGAAAAGAACACTGTATTTTCAAGGGAACAAGGAATATGTAATTGTGCTGTAAAGAATCCAAAATGAGGGTCTAGTAAAAGGACACTTTGTGACAGAGCACATCTGTTGCAGAATTTTATGTGACCAGCTTCAATTCAGTTCAACATGTACTGAATCTCCACCATGTGCAGATACCTTGCCTGCTTATAGGAATATAAAGACACTTGGGACCAGCAGTTGGCGTAATGGCTATGTTGCTGGACTCCCACGTAGTCGACCGTGGTTTGACTGGACTCTCACATGAACCATCATGGTTTGAGTCCCAAACCCAGTGGCTTTAACTTCACGCTGGACATGTGTGCATGCGTGCCCAAAATCCCAAGAGGAGGATAGAGGAGAAGGGATTGTGGTGTGGCCACTCCCTCCCAGGGGGTGATTCTCGCTTTCTGTCTCTCTGGCAAGTGCACATGCTCTATAACAAAAATCTCTCTAAACAAACAAACAAAAAAAAAAATAAATAAAAGAAGAAAGTAAATTAGTCAACTATCGAATGTTGCAGAAAGTTCCAGGAGAGACTGAGAAGTGCTCTCTAGCATGTAGGTGCTTACTGGGAAGAGCAGTTCTACTGAAGTTGCAAAAGCCAAGATACAGAGGAATAATGCAGGGATAAGTGGTAGCAAAGGAGGAGAAATGGAAGCATCAGTAGATAAAGGCTTTTTAAAGAAAAAAATATTTGGACCGGCAGTTGGTGTAATGGCTATGTCGCTGGACTCCCACGTAGACAAAGGCGGTTTGAGTCTGGACCCGGTGGATTAAATTCACGCCGGGCATGTGTGCATGCATGCTCAAGATCCCGAGAGGAGAATAGAGGAGAAGGGATTGCGGTGTGACCATCCTCCCCCCCACCCCCACGAGGGGAGATTTCTCACTTTCTCTCTCTGTCTTTCCGGTGAGCGCACATGCCTTATAGCAAAAAACCTCTCAAAAAAAAAAAAAAAAAAAAAAAAAAAAATCCTCCCAGACTTACAGTAGAAGAGATAAGCTTGTTTGGATGTAGAAAGAAAACAGCCAGCAGGGGCCAAAGCTAGAGGAGGGAAAGGAAGCAAATGATGAAGCAGGTCCTGGATGAAAACCAGGAGGATATAAATCTAGAGGACCAAGGGGACTAGCTTGAAATAAGACACCAAGTTGGGAGAAAAGGAAAGGATTTTTTAGTGCAGATGGGGTTATAAACTGAGTTTCTAAGAGCACAGAAGGATAAAACAGGATACAAAGGTGAGGAAGTTTGCTGAGAAACAAAGCTTGGGAGACGGGAATTAGAAACTGGTTTGAAGAGTGTCGAACATCAGAAGTCCCTGTGGAGTGAGAGCAATGGAAATGAGCACAGGAAATGGACTGATGAGAAAGGCCCAGGTAGCGCTGGATACCATAGATCTATAGAGATGCTAGTATACACACTCATGTGATTTTCTGCAGCAATACTCAGCTTTCAAGATGTAAATCTGGGGGCTGGCAGGTGGTATGGTGGTTAAGGGTGCTGGACTCCCACACTGCTGACTGCGGCTCAAGTCCTGGACCTGGTGACTTGCTTTCTCACTTTCCCTCTCTCTCTCTGTCACTCTTGGCAAATTAAAATAAAATAATAAAGTTATAAATAAAATCTTTTTTTTTTTGAGAGGTTTTTTGCTATAGGGCATGTGTACTCACCAGACAGACAGAGATAGAGAGATAGAAAGTGAGAAATCACCTCCCGGGGGGGTGGGCCCAACGCACACTGCAATCCCTTCTCCTCTGTTCTCCTCTCGGGATCTTGTGCATACACACACATGCACCCGACGTGAGTATAAGCCACCGGGTCCGGGACTTGAACCACGGTCGACTACGTGGGAGTCCAGCAACATAGCCATTACGCTAACCACTGGTCCCAATAAAATAATTCTTAAAAAAAAAAAGATAAGGACCAGTAGTTGGCGGAATGGCTATGTTGCCGGATTCCCATGTAGTCAACCACATTTTGAGTCCCAGATCCGGTGGCTTAAACTCATGCCAGGCACATGTGCATGCGTGCCCAAGATTCCAAGAGAAGACTGGAGGAGAAGGGACTGCAGCGTGGTCATCCCCCCTGAGGGGTGATTTCTTGCTTTCGATCTCTTTGTCTCTTTGTCTCTCTCTGTCTTTCGGGTGAACGCATGTGCCCTATAGCAAAAACCTCTCAAAAAAAAAAAGGTATAAACTTGGATTCAGTACATGGGACCAATGAGGAATGACTGTGCTGGTGTGAAAAAAAGCAGAATGTTTGACTTTGAGGCCCAGGGTAGCTAGAGAAGACAATAAAGCCCCATTGAGAGATAAAGGGGAAACATAAACAGGGAGAAAGTAAAAATGTGAAGGCGTGGCAAAGAGCTAATATCAAAGTTATGTTAAATAAAGTCTGGGACATACAGTGCAAAGGAACAGAATCCCACCTCCCACAGACTCAATGCCTAACTCCAAGTTGTTTTCGTGTTTGAGATTCTTGGGGTCTGAGAGAGGAAAAATATGATCAACTCACCAAACAGTCACGCTGCAGGGTCTTACACAGAGCATTATACATGTCAGCATCTAAAAAAAGACCATCAGGGATGTCTTGTAGAAAGTCCAGGTCTTTAAAGGTGGGGAGAGGCTTATCTCGCTCTTTTTGGGAAGCTCGCCGTTTGTAGGTTGAGCCCTTGAGGTCATATTTCATGTGCATCTTGACCGACCGTGGTAAGAGATTGTTCATTACCACAATTCGAATGTTCTTGCCACCTGCTTGCACACAGTATAGTCCATAGAACTTAGGCAGCAAAGTCCGAGGGTTCTGGTTGAGGTTCTGAGGACACACAGGTAAAAAGCAGGAGGAGCAAGTGAGTTGATTTTCAGGGAAACAAAAACAAAAAGTTGCCACCCGTCCTCCCTTTATGGCCTACATGGGATTCAGGCACAAATGGTCTGCCATCAACCCACACATTTAAAATTTCCCAAACTACAAACTATCTCAGTAACGAGATCACCACCAAGCAGTGCCACAGACCCTCCAGTACAGTCATCAGTCAGGGCAGTGAACATATGATGGGTGCATTCTTTGAGAGAGGTTTATGAGAAGATAGTATTGAAAAAGTCTCAACCCTTAGCCTTGAATATATAGCAGGTTCTTGGGGTGGGGTGGGGAGGAGGATTGTGGGATGTAAGGAAAATTCCCTAACCCTAACCCTAGAACCTTCAAGAGCAGTTAAGAGTAACACTGAACAGAACACTATCAAGGGAAGTTACTCACCTCTTTCCCCAAACTAGGAGCTGAACTAAGAACAGAAAACAAAAACATCTTGAATTTTGCCTCTGGGTAAGACAGTCTAAGGCAACTAACACTTAAAAGTAGGACAAATAAACATAATCATAGAGAGGCAAAAGAGATGGGTCAGAAAACACACAGAGGAACTACACTAAGACAGAAATGTTGCCACGGTCTGCCCTGCTGAAGGCGGCCTCCCAGACTATCTAGGAGCAGGCAGCACGGTGGTCAGTGCTCTCCTCGCACTTACCATGTAGTATCCTGGAAGCAGCTTCTGCAGAAACTCTGCCTCTTTATGCTGCACCGTCTTAATGATGAATTCATCATCACTGGACACATAGAAGAGGGAACCACTAGCTCCGGAGTTGCAGAGTTCAATTAGTGGTTCACTGCAGAGGGAGTACTGGGGCGAGAGAGGAGAGAGAAGACAGGTTCACCAGGGCATGCTCATCACAGAAACGCAATTCTGTTCTAAAGAAAAACTCGAACAAGATCACAGACAGAGAAAGACCTTCCTCTGATAATATCCCTCTGATACTGAAGTCTTAGGTCTTGAGATCCAAAAGCTTACCAAGTAGTCATCAGGCCGGATGCCAAATAGCTCCCGAAAGTAGCGGAAGGCAACAGGGGCATAGGTCTTGAAACGGAAGTCATTGTAGTGATGAGCGGGGGTCAAGTTGCTACCTTCGCTGTGGAGTAAAAGAAGCCATTAGGGACCAGCTATTGGCGTAATGGCTATGTCGCTGGACTTCCATGTAGTAAACAGCGGTTCGATTCCTGGACCTGGTGGCTTAAACTTAAGCTGGGCGTGTGTGCGTGTGTGCCCAGATCCCAAGAGGAGAATGTAGGAGAAGGGGTTGTAGCGTGGCCCTGTAGGGGTGATTTCTCGCTTTCTGTCTTTCTGGTGAGCACACACGCCCTATAGCAAAAACCTCTCCAAAAAAAACAAAACAAAACAAAACAAAAAAAACAGAACAAAGAAGCCATAACTTTCTAGTCCCTATCACCAGGAAGTCCACCCTGGGAAGACACCAAGACTCCTACTGGGGGACCAATATATCCTTCCTATGAAACTAGAGAGATTAAAAGAGTCAGTTCCTTAGTGAGATAAAGATACAACATAGGAAGCAAATGCAAGGGCACAACTACATTGCCTCCTACCTAATGCATTATTTTTTTCACAGATCACTCCGCAGGCCGAAGGTTCATAAAAGCACCTAGAGGACGGCATCTGCTCTCCAAGATCTCCAGTCTTACATCACCCTGATTATCAGCTTAAGAGTTGGATACATATCTAAATTAGATTTGAACCCCTAAAACTGCCCTGGGGTTGATTAGAAAGAACCACATTTTCTAAGATATTCTCCTGAACATTAACTTGTGTACCTACCTGGGGAAGAAGATACTCTCTACCACGTAGAAGTCTTGCATGAGGACATCCCTCTCAGGTTTGGTACTCAGGCTTCCTACGGTGTGAGTAATGCCCAATTGGATGGCACCTTTCAAGGCTGATGAGGTTGTCTAAGCAAGATAAAAACAAAATAAATTGGAGTTTCTAGTACTAGGACTGACCACAGCAATAAAAACTCAAGAGTAAAGAACTAGAACATTTGAAAGCAAATGCCCTTCAAGTAATTCATACCAAACAAACTAAGGTGATCCACCCTCCCCATCTCCAGGTTTTCCACTGCAACTGAACCTGGCAAAGACTAGGACAGTGAAGATACAGAGTAGCAAAGATGGGACTATCTGAGCCAGCCTCAGCTAGGCAAGGAGTTCATTCCCACCAGCCTGCCTAAACAAGGGGCTCAAATCTTTTAAAGGTACTTTGTGTTAAGAGAACAATCTTGGGAACCAGCAGTTAGCATAATGGCTATGTCGCTGGACTCCCACGTAGTCGACCGCAGTTCGTGTCCCGGACCCGGTGGCTTAAAACTCACGCCGGGTGCGTGTGCGTGCGTGCCCAAGATCCCGAGAGGAGAATGGAGGAGAAGGGATTGCGGCGTGACCATCCCCCCTGGAGGGTGATTTCTCGCTTTCTGTCTCTATGTCTCTCTCTGTCTGTCTGGCGAGCGCACACGCCCTACAGTGAAAATCTCTCCAAAAAAAAAAAAAGAGAACAATCTTAAATCTCATTCCTGAGGTTTCTGCCTCCAGAATACTGGGGCCCTCGGTAACATTTTATTCACCTGATAGAGACTGTAACTAAAACCAGCCAATAATCTGATTTGACTACCTGGCTATAGAAACTTCAGTTCTCTAGGAAAGGCCTGACTGATGTGTCAGGGATGACAGTGGCAAAAAGAACTCCCAATTAAAGGGGGAGGGACCAGCAGTTGGAGTAATGGTTATGTTGCTGGACTCTCATGTAGCTAACCGTGGTTCGAGTCTCAGACTCAGTGGCTTAAACTCACACCGGGCATGTGTGTGTGTGTGCCCAAGATCCCGAGAGGAGAATGGAGAAGGGATTGCAAGGAGGTCATCACCCCGGTGAGTGATTTCTCGCTTTCTATCTCTCTTTGTCTCTCTCTTTGTCTTTCTGGTAAGTGCACACGCCCTATAGCTAAATAAATAAATAAAAAGGAGGAAAGTCTCAAATTATTGCTGAGATTGTTTAGATTTTGAATTACTGTGTTATGGTGAAAACACAAAAACAAGAGCTTCATTCTTTTCTTTCTTTTTTTTTAAGAGGTTTTTGCTATAGGGCGCGTGCACTCGCCAGATAGAGACAGAGAGACAGAAAGTGAGAAATCACCCCCCAGCGGAGATGGCCACGCTGCAATCCCTTCTCCATTCTCCCCTCGGGATCTTGGGCACGCACGCACACGTACCTGGCGTGAGTTTTAAGCCACCGGGTCCAGGACGTGAACCGCAGTCCACTACGTGGGAGTCCAGTGACATAGCCATTACGCTAACTGCTGGTCCCAAGAGCTTCATTCTTACAACTAAGAATTCTAGTTCACATCACTTAGATCTGTGTAGCCCAATAGAGTAGACACTGGCCACACAGTTAACTAGCTAGCTACTTTCTAATTGCCAGCAGATGCACCCATCTATTTATCTACCTTGGAACTGCCAGAAGAAGCATGAGCTTCAGAGATGCAGAGAAATCACCTTCCAAAGGGCTAAAGTCATGCTGTCATCTACTTGGCATATTTGTTATAGAAACATTCACTAAAAAAAAAAAGTGTGTGTGTGTATAATTTGCTACAGGGCACATATGCTCATTAGAGAGAGAGAACAAGCAAGAAAGCACCCTCCAAAGGGGATGACTGTGCTGTAATCCCTTCTCCCCCATTCTCCTCTCAAGATTTTGGGCACACACACATACATGCCTGGCATATTTCTCAAGCCACTGAATCCAGGACTCAAACCATTCAGGAGGCCATGTGAGATCTAGCCACCTTAACCACTATGTTACCGCTGGCCTGAAAAATAATTTTTATTGCCAACAGATAGCATAGTGGTTACGTCGCTGGACTCTCACATGGTCGACCATGATTCAAGTCCCTTACCTCTACCCGGTGGCTTCAAACTCATGCCAGCAGCATGTGCACACATGCCTAAGATCCCGGGAGGTGAATGGAAGAGAAGGGATTGCAGTGTGGCCATCCCCCCCGAGGGGTGATTTCTCACTTTCTACCACCCTATCTGGCGAGTACACGTGCCCTATAGCAAAAATCTCTTCCCCTCCCAAAAGAATTATTGTAATTTATGATTTACATATAATTTTATAACTGTGGGGGATACAGTGTGGAAAGCATATATTCAGTGTAGAATCAAATCAAGGAAATAAGCACATTTACCATCTCCAACATTATTTCTTTATATTCGTCAGAGGGCATGTGTACTTGTGAGACACAGAAAAGGGGGGAGGAAGAAGGTACACCCCAAGAGAGTATGATTATGCCTCAATCTTCTCTAGTTCTCCCTCCTGTTGAGATTTTGGGCACATATGCACATGGGCCCATCATGATCTTTAAGATGTCAGAGCCAGGATTCAAATTGTGTGGCTGGCCATGTGGGATCTGGCTCCCTTAACCACTGGACCACTGGGAAGCCTCACACATGGCTGTTTATATTCAAGCTAATTAAGTAAAAGCTCCGCTCTCTCGAGCCTTTTTCTCCTTTTTTCCTTTCAGTGAGTGAGGAGAGAGATTTCTGACGGGGTCCTGTTGTGTTCTTCCTGGTCAGCTAGCACCACAGATGTGCAGCACCATGCATAGTAGCCTATTGATGTTGGTCAGCCATTGTGCAGCAGTGCCCTCCTGCTTGTGCCACTACAGCTGAGGGCACTTTAATAGTTTTCTTCACTGCAGTTCAAGTGTGACTGGTGGCACAAATACAGCAGGTGTTAATCACTGTAGAAAGTTCTTTAGGGGCAGTTTTGCTCTAAATTATTTCCCTTATCCCCAAATCTCCACCAGATATTACTTATTTTATTTGCTCTAGGGCACTTGTGCTCGCCACAGAGACAGAGATGAGCAGGGAGACAGAAAGGAAGAAATCACCTCTCAGGGGAGATGACCATACTGCAATCCCTTTACTTCCACTCTTTCAGGATTTTGGACATGCAAGCACATGCACCTGGTGTTGAGTTTCAAGCCAATGGGTCTGAGACTTGAATCACAGTCATCCACATGGGACCGTATTTCTATTTAGTGGGTATTACAATTAGAAATAGGGGGCCAGATGGTCGTGCAACAGTAAAATGTGACACTCTGCAAGGCTGACCCTATATGAGAAGGTTCAAGTCCAAATAACTCCCTGAATATGCTAGACCTGCCTGTGCCTAGGGCAGGCTGAAACTGGGATGAATCTCAGCAACGAGACTGAGGTGTTGTCTCATTGGGAGTATTCGCTTTTTTTCCCTCTCTCTCTCGTGCAATTAGTAACTGAATTTAAAATATACACAACTAGCTTTTTGTTTGCCCCTCAGTTAGACTAGAAATTCATGTTTATCTCCATGTTTAGCAATTTGAAAAGCTCAATAAATGTTTGTTGAATGGATGTGGGCCCGGGAGTCCATTCCAAGACAATCAGATCCCTGAGTGACAATGTTGGGTTAGTCCACCTCTGCTACTTGGGTCACTGAAATAAAGGCAGTGAGTACGCATAAAATTTATATATGCCGGAAACAAGACTCTAAGTAATCTTCATGCCCTGCATCAGACAAAATACAGACACTAAATGAGAAGTTGGGAAATCTAAGCATCTTCAAATTAGTCCAGAGCTGAAGAACTGCCATCACCCCAGATCCAGGATGCTTCTCTCGCTTTCCTTTCATTAGCTCAATTTTCTCTTCTTGGCTATTACCACTACTTTCCAGTCGATCTGATATACAGAGCTCAAGAAAACAAGTGTTCTAGGTACTGCTCACTAGCTGAAATTACAACCTTAAAAAAAAAAAAAAAAAGAGGATTGGGGCTGGGTGTTGAACTCCTATATGGCTGACCACAGTTCACGTCCCGAACCTGGCAGCTTGATCTTTCTCTCTGGTCAAATTAAAAAATATAAACAAATCTGGGTCAGCAGGTGGCGTGGTGGTTACATCACTGTAATTCCCACATGACTGACAGCAGTTCGAGTCCCAGACCTAGCGACTTACTTTCTCACTCTCCATCTCTCTCTCTGTCTCTGTCTGTCTTTCTCTGGCAAAACTCATGAAAAATAGATAAATAAATAAATATTAAAAAATATATAAGCAAACCAGTAAATAAAATTATTTATTCAACTTTATTTATTTATTTTAACTTGACCAGAGAGGGACAGAGCAAGCGATCGAGAGAGAATGCACCTGCTGACCCAAACAAATAATTCTTTAAAAAAAGGGGGAGGATGGGACCAGCAGTTAGCGTGATGGCTATGTCGCTAGATTCCCATGTAGTCGACTGAGGTTTGCATCCCAGACCTGGTGGCTTAAACTCATGCCGTGCGCGTGTGCACCCAAGATCCCAAGAGGAGAACAGAGGAGAAGGGATAGCGGCATGGCCATCTCCCATAGGGGGTGATTTCTCGCTTTCTCTCTCTCGCTGTCTGTCTGGCGAGCACATGCATCCTATAGCAAAAACCTCTAAAAAAAACGGGGGGGGAGGGGGAGGATAGGTTGGCCCTATAGCACAGAGGTTAACCACTGTGCAGAGACAGCCAGGCTCCCACATGGCCAGCTGAGGTTCAGGTCATGACCCTGGTGGCTTACATGCTGGGCATGCATGTACATGCCTGGGATCTTCACAGGATAGAAAAAGGGAAGAAAAGGGATTCTTGTATGACTAGGCCCTGTTGAGAAGGGGAGGGGTTTTTTCTTTTTCTTTCTCTCATGTATATGCATGCACCTTATGGCATGCTGGAAAAACAAAAGGAAGGAGAGGAGGAGAAGGAAGAAAGGGAAAGA